CCAAATACTAAAATTTTGAAAATTATATGGTAAATGAGCTTAAATGGAGATTAAAAAAATAAAAAACTTTAATAAGCTAAAGAGCTATTTTTAAAGGATGAATAAAATGGATAAACTGAAAAAAGGAAGAGGCTGTCAATGGGGTGTGGCTTCCTCATTGGGCCCATTGCTGTATTTACCCAATCGCTTTTTAGTCTCCCTCTGTCTCAGCCTCCATCTTGGTCCCCACAGTCCTCCCCTCACATCCATCTGCTGGCCAGTATCCCTCTCCATGCGCAGACAGCAGCATTCATTCGCTTTCCAGAGAGCACAGGAGAGGATGAATATTTGATGACAGGCAGGCCAACATTCGGGATGGGGATAATGGCCCCGGGGAAGGCAGCTGAGGCATTGGGTTACGCCAGCGGATCAGCTGAATAGTAATTAGCCTAATGGTGGAACCTTGAAAGTCTCTGCCCTCTGAGAGGCTGTTCTGAAGTGCCTGCCATGGTTTGTCCTAGATTGTGGAGGAGAGCCCTGCATTTGTCTGCTGTCAGAGAATCTGGGTTCAGATTCCACCCCAGACACTTGTTAGCAGTAGGACCTTGGGTAAGTCACTGCCACTCTGGGATCTCAGTCTCCTCACCTAGGAAATTTAGTTGATGCCTTCTAAGGGGCCTTCCAGCTACAAATCTAGGACCATGATCCACAGACTATTCTCGGGGATTCCACTCCTGTGCCAGGGTCTCAGGAGACCCAAGGTCTATACCCCGATCAGAAGTTTCAGAGGATTTGACCCCAGATTTTCCCAAACCAGAGTCATCGCTCCCTCAGTTGTACCACACTGCTTCTTTAGTGCTAAGATTAAAGCATGGCTTTGACCATATTTTTACCAGCTGGAAGGTATCTCAGGCTGTCTAGTCCAAGGCCCCCAGCTTTGTCAGGCCGAGGCTCAGAGTAGGAAGGGGCTTGCCCGAGGTTGCCTGGTGGTCTCTCTAGTACACCTTGAATCCGTCCACATTGAGCCCTTGACAGTATGGACTTAAATGAAGAGGGCAGCAGAGCCACCTGAAGCAGTGCCCTGTAATAGACAACTTTTATATCATCCACCCACCCACCCATCATCCATCCATCCACACACCCACCCACCCACCCATCCATCATCCATCCATCCACACACCCACCCACCCATCCATCCATCATCCATCCACCCACCCACCCACCCATCCATCATCCATCCATCCACACACCCACCCATCCATCCATCATCCATCATCCATCCATCCATCCACCCACCCATCCATCATCCATCCATCCACATACACACCCATCCATCCATCATCCATCCATCCACACACTCACCCACCCATCCATCATCCATCCATCCACACACCCACCCATCCATCATCCATCCATCCACACACCCACCCACCCATCCATCATCCATCTATCCACACACCCACCCATCCATCATCCATCCATCCATCCACACACCCACCCACCCATCCATCATCCATCATCCATCCATCCATCCACCCACCCATCCATCATCCATCCATCCACCCACACACCCACCCATCCACCCATCCATCCACCCACCCACCCACCCATCCATCATCCATCCATCCATCCATATACCCATCCATCCACCCATCCATCATCCATCCATCCACACACCCACCCATCCATCATCCATCCATCCATCCACACACCCACCCACCCATCCATCATCCATCATCCATCCATCCATCCATCCACCCACCCATCCATCATCCATCCATCCACCCACACACCCACCCATCCACCCATCCATCCACCCACCCACCCACCCATCCATCATCCATCCATCCATCCATATACCCATCCATCCACCCATCCATCCATCCATCCACACACCCACCCACCCACCCATCCATCATCCATCCATCCACACACCCACCCACCCATCCATCATCCATCCACCCACCCACCCACCCACCCATCATCCATCCATCCATCCACACACCATCCGTCCATCTGTCTGTCTGTCTGTCTGTCTCTATTTGTCTAACATCTATCTGTATCTATCCATCCATCTATCTGTGTCTATCTCTGTATCTATTTTTCCACCCTATCTATCATCTATCTATCTATATGTCCGTCTATCTCTATCATGTTTATGGCCCATGCCTGAGCCAAGCAGGCAGAGCAAGACTCATGATGCCCATTTTACAGAGGAGGAAAGGAGAGTGTCTCAGAGAGGATAGGTGACATGTCTAGGATCTTACAGATTAGGAAAGGCCTGAGGTGGCATTGGAACCCAGAACCCTCCAGAGTCCAGGTCTCTGGTCTGCTGCTTTGTGGGTAAGGTGTGTAGATGTCAAGGAGGCCTGGGTGGAGGCTATCTGTGGGCCAGGGTGATGGGAGACCAGCCCATGGTGTTTGTGCCAGAGAATCAGTGCGTGGTAGGGAGGAGTGGGGGCCCAGAGATGGTGCCGGGCAAGGAGGGCAATGATCATCACAACAAACCTGGCAGGTAGGTGCTATCATTATCCCCATTTTACAGCTGAAGAAACTGAGTCAGATAGACTAAGTGATTTGCCCAGGGTCACACACTTGCTAAGTGTTGGAGGTTAGATTTGAATCTAAGCCTTCCCAACTCTACCCACTGACACGCAGCTGCCTCTACTCCAGCGGAGGGTATGAGAGCCAGCATCGGTCATGTGAATGGACAGCATCCTTCTTGCCTGACTTGGTTTACCTGGAAACAGTGGCCGGGTCACAAGTGCTTTTTAGTCTCGGCAGCAGAGTGTCCAGGAAAGACTCCCCCAGAGCATGAAGAAGGCCAGGGACAGTCATGCTCCAATTGGTCACAGGAGGGATGCCCACAGCTGGCTGCTTTGGACACCCATTCACAGCAAACATGCCTCTTCCTCCACCACAGCTCGTGACCCAGCTGTGAGTCACTGCCCGCAGAGGATGATGATTTGGTTGTTTCCTTCAGCCACAAAATGTCAAATGCCCCAGGCTGGCATTTCTGTGGAGGGGCTGCTTGGCAAAGCAAGGGTGTGGCACTGGCCTCAGTTTCTCCAAGAGGGCCTTCTTCCTAAGATGACTGGCCTATAGTCAGCCTGTTGACTGACCGAATGGAATGCTGTCCAAGAAGGGTGTGACAGACGTCAGAGGCATCATGTCACAAATGGGCATCCGTGGTGTCTGCCTGCCTGGAACGGGGCTCTCCAGAGTGGCCTGGAGGCTGCTGCTACCTGTGAGGAAAGAGGGCCAGCTGACTCTCTCCCTCCCTTGTTAGCAGGGCCTGTGTTCTCAGCACTAGGAGATAGAACCCCGGAGTCTCCAATCTAAGATTCACAGAGCAAGGCTGGCCTCGCAGAGGGCGACCTCCCCGAGGGGACAATGCTTTAGGAGCCTTGGAAGAGTGGGCTGGGAGGTGGTCCCTGGGCACCGATTCCTGTGAGCCCCGCCCCCCCCATCAGTGCTGGGGCCATCCAGGCTCCACAAATAGGATGCTGTTATTGGCGCTGGGGGGAAGCCTGGGGCCTGCCCTCAGGGGGCTCGCAGTCTGGTGAGGAGTAAGCCCCCAGCCTGGAGAACTGCGCTGCCCAGGGTTATGTAATGCCTGGATGCCCACAGGGCAGGGAGGTGCCAGGACGGATACCAGGGGGTGAGTGACTCAGGCTGCGGTGGGAAGGACTAATGGCCACATGGCTGTGTATAATACTCATCTCCTGTCAAAGGAAAACAATGGAGGAACTGGTGTGTAGCTCGCTGGGATGGCCGGCTCCCGGACCCTGGCTGGACTGTAGGATGGAGCAAGGCCGCCTTTTCTGACATCCTTGCGGGAAGATCCTGGGGCAAGTCCAGAGACCCCCTGCTCCAAGGGGGCTGACGGTGCCCGGGAGACTGGGAGGCGGGCCTGGAGCTAGGGTCCCGGCAGGGAATGGTGGTGCCCAAGCAGCGTGAGCTTGGACAAGTCACTTCTGCCCAGGGCCTCAGTTTCCCCACCTGTAACATGAGAGGGTTGGACCAGAGGGCAGCTGAGACCTTCCCTGTCTCTAGAGCTGCGATTGAACAGTCTTAGGCTTTACAGAGAGGGAAACTGAGACCGAGAGAGTGAAAGGGACTTGTCCAAGGTCATTTAACTAGCAAGTGGAAGAGAGCCCTGCGGGTTTGGAGTTAAAGGCTCTGCGTTCAAATTCTAGCTCTGCCCCTTACTGCCTGGGTGACCTTGGGCGAGTAGGGTTTCCTCGCCGGGCCTCAGTTTCCTCATCTGGCTCTTTGAACTTCTGGTCTGAGCATGCACTGCTCCAGCGGGCACCGGGGGACTTCTGAGGTGCCAGGGGCGCCGGCTGGCCACCAGAAGGCGTCCTGAGGGCGGGCGCCCCCAGGAGGCATCTCGAGGGTGGGCGCCAGCACCGGGTGCCCAGGGGCCCCAGGGATCCCTGCAGGCCTCGGCTCAGGGCTGGGCTTTCTCTCCTGCCCCCCCCCCCACCCCAAGTGTATCTCCTGGAAAAAATGAAGTCAAACAGGTTCCCGGCGGCGCAAACAATAGGCACTGGGACGGGATGGGAGGGCTGGATCCGATCCTCAGGGTTACCTGAGGGTCAGAGCTCAGTGGAGCTGGCATCGGCCCTGCCCCTAGGCACCCTGCACAGACCGGGCTGGGCTGGCCCGGGAGGGAGGGGACAGGAGCCGCAGCCACGCTTTCCGCTCTGAGCCCAGGCTGCTGGGTGAACTTGGGCCGGGCCCTGTCAGTCTCTGGGCCGCCGGGCTCCAGACCCAGGATGGGACCCCCAACTCTGCCGCGATCCGGGCCCGCTGGGCCGTCGTGGGGGGCCGTGATCCCACAGAATGCAGGGCCAGGGCTCCTGTCAGGCTGACGCAGCGATTGGGCAGGGGAAGGGCCCCGAGCACCGCGGGACACCCGGGATGGGGGATGACCCCCCGAGGGGCGGGGCCCCCGGAGGAGGACCTGGGGGCGGGGCCTGGAGGGCGGGGCCGAGGCAGCCACGGGATGGGGGTGGGGCTGCAGCTGCAGCACAGGTGCTAACAGAGTGACCCTGGTCGGAGGGAGCGCGTCCGTGGCGGCCCCCGGAGCGGCTGGACGCTTTGGGATCGACGGAGGCAGCGGCTGGAGGGCAGCGGCGGCCAGCCCGGCCTTGGTCCCGGGTCTGGCTGAGCTTGGGGTCCCCGGACTCCGGGGCCTTAGGACGGAGCGTCTGGCAGCCCCGCGAACCCCCAGGTACGGCCAGGGCAGGGGGGCGGAGGAGGGAGGTGAGTGGGGAGGGGAGGCCCGTGACTCTGTGGTTCTTTCCTCTCTCTGGGCGCTTTGCCTCGGGTTCTGTGCGTGGGAGTGTGTGTCAGCGCGTGTTAGGGGGACGGAGGAGGGGAGAGAAGAGGCACCTTCCCCAGGGCACGTCGCTAAGGGATAGCCGGCCTGGCCACCTCCTCCAGGGGTCCTTGGCTTACAGCCCTGCTCCTTCCCAGCCTCAGTTTACCCAGCTGTCCAGGGAGAGTTCCGAGCCAGGCCGTACGCCAGCAGAGTCCCAAAGTTGCGCTGGCAGACACAATCGAGCCAGGGAGTCCGCGGGCACATAGTCCACGCAGGAGCGGGTGGGGCGTCTTTGTTGCCCCGCTCACGCTTTGGGCTACCCTGGTGTCAGCCCCCGAGGGGAGATCCTGCGTGTGGACTGAGCCGGGAGACTCCTCATTAACAAATAATATGGGGCGTCTGAGACCTGGTGATGAAGCAGATGGTCAGTTTCCCCAGCCCGCCCCTTCCCCTCCTGTAATGGTAGGAAGGGGCTAGGGGCGAGGCACAGCCCTTGAATTCAAAAGCGGCAGCTGACCCCGGCAGTCTGTGAGTGTGTGTTTGGGGGTGGGGTGGGTCCAGCACTGCTCCCAGCCTCATTTTCTGCATCTGCCAAATGGGAGCATCTCCCATTTCTATAGCAGCGTCTTAGTGACCAACTGGCCCCCTCTGCCTCCGGCTGCCCTGACTTCAGTCCTAGGAAGAGCTTAGCTAAAGGTTTCAGGGTCCCAGGCAGAAGTCCTCCTCTTGAAGCCTGTTATGATCCCCATTTTACAGATGGGGACACTGAGGCACACTGAGACCAAGCTGCTCTCCAGGGTCCTCCTAGCCAGGAAGGGCCTGAGGCCAGATTCTGGCCCTGGTCTGGTAGTCTCTAAGTCTGCTCTGTCTCCTGCCCCCTATCCCCACCCCCCACGACTGCTTTCAGGATTCCCTGTAATGAAGAGAGAGGGGGCCTGACTCTTTCCTATCCCACAAGTTCTGGGGAGTGGCTTTTATGTCTCCAGAATGCCCCTGTCAAGCAGAGTATGCTGCTAAGGGACACTGGGTGCCCAGAGCATTGGACCTGAGTCAAGAAGCCCTGAATTCAAATCCAGCCTCAGACTCTCCAGGCTGTGGGAACTGAACAGGTCTCTCCACCCCTGTTCCGCATCAGGGACAGTGACATAGCATCCTCAGCACCCCCTCTATTACCCCTCCCCAGAGAGTGTGAGGACAGAACCAGATAGGATTTGGGAAGTGCTTTGCAAACCAGAGGGCCCACTATATAATGTCAGCTCTTGCTGATATGCCTCCTAACCTCAGTAGTTAAGTCTAGGAGACCAGCAGCTCCTGGAGGACAGAGGCCTCCGCCGGGCTCTGTGCCAGGCACATCTAACTGCCTAGAAAGCCATGACCTGAAATTCGTTGTACATGTCCTGGATCCCCCAACCTGTCCTAGGCGTGGGCTGGAGCAGTGTCTGGGATTTTGTTTGTGGCTTCTTTATTTTTTTAATTTTATTAATTTATTTTGATTTATCAACAGTCACTTCCATATGCTTTTGAGTTTAAAATTTTTCTCCCCCTTCCTCCCCACCACCCTCCCCAAGACGGCGCACAATCTGATATAGGCTATACATTTCATTCTTATTAAACATATTTTCACATCAGTGAAATTGTAAGTAAAAATTAAAACCAATAGGAGGAACCATCAGAAAGAGGAAACAAAACTCAACAGAAGAGAAAAAAAAGATAGTGATTCAGCTTTCACAGTTATGATTACTATCTGTGTCTTTTTCTCCATCCTTTTCCCCCTTTATCTTTCTCCTTTCTCCTTTCCCCCCTCACTAGTGTTTTGCTTTTGACCACTGCCTCCTTCAGTCTCTCCTCCCTTCTATCATCCCTTTCCCTTTTCTTCCCCTTTGCCCTTACTGCCTCTTCCGTCCCTTCCATCTTCCCTCTCTTTTCTTTCCCCTTTCCCCTCCTACTGCCTATAAGGCAAGTTAGATTTCTATACCTAACTGATTATGTTATTCCCTTCTTGAGCCAAATCTGATGAGAGTAAGGTTCAAACAATGCTCACCCCCTCCCTTCTTTCCCTCTGCTGTAATAGGATTTTTTGTCTTTTCCTGTAATGTAATTTACCCTTGTCTGCCTCCTCCTTTCTCAGTACATTTTCTAAGATCAGACTAATCCACTTACTTGGATCCATTTAACCCACTTGATTAGATTTTTTTTATCATTACATCAAAGTCAACTAATATCCACCCCTTTATATACTCCTTTAACATGGTGTAATAACAATACAGTTCTCAAGAGTTGCAAGTGTCATCTTCCTTGTAGGGATGTAAACAGTCCACCTTATTAACAACATTTTGTATCTTTCTGTCCCATTTACCTTTTTATGTCTTCCTTGAATCTTGTACTTGAAGATCAAATTTTTTGTTGAGCTCTGGCCTTTTTATGAGGAAGGTTTGGAAGTCCCATATTTTGTCGAATATCCATCTCCTCCCTTGAAAAATCATGCTTTTTTTTGTAGGGTAGTTGATCCTTGGCTGCAATCCAAGCTCCTTTGCCTTATGGAATATCATGTTCCACGCCCTGTGGTCTTTTAATGTAGAAGCTGCAAGGTCCTGTGTAATCCTGACTGTGGTTCCATGATATTTAAATTGTTTCTTTCTGGCTGCTTGCAGCACCTTCTCTTTCATCTGGTAATTTTGGAATTTTGCTATTATATTCCTTGGCATTGTCAATTTGGGATCTCTTTCAGGTGGTGATGTGTATTCTTTCTATGGTTATTTTACCTTCTGGTTCTAGGACTTCGGGCAGTTTTCCTTTATGATTTCCTGAAAGATACTGTCCAGGCTCTTTTTTTCATCATGATTTTCAGGTAGTCCAATGATTTTTAAATTGTCTCTCCTGGATTGATTTTCCAGGTCAGTTGTTTTACCGATGAGGTATTTTATGTTTTCATCTATTTTTTCATTTTTTTGTTTCTGTTTGACTGATTCTTGCTCTCTCATAGAGTCATTAGTTTCCATTTGTCCAATTCTAGTTTTTAACAGATTTTTTCTTCTGTTAGTTTTTGTACTTCCTTCCAATTGGCCAATTGTATTTTTAAGGGATTTGTTTTCTTCAGTGTACTTTTTTTTCCGGTTGGCCATTGTATTTTTTAAGGACTTTTCTACCTCTGACATTTGACTTTAAAATCCTTCTTGAGCTCTTCTAAGAAGGCTTTTTGGGCTTCAGACCAGTTCATATTCCCTTTTGATGTTGCAGATGTGGGTTTGTTGACAATGTTGTCCTCTTCAGAATTTCTGTCTTGATCTTCACTCTTCTCATAATATGAATCTATGGTACATTTCTTTTTACTCATGGTTTCTTTATTCCCTGGCCTTTAAAGAGATTGAGCTCTCCTGCGGGAACAGAGGGCACTGACCCAAGCTTCTTGTGTTGGGAGCCTAGGTCTTGGTCACTGGCTTTGTGTGCTGGGGCCTCTTATGTTGGCAATTGGAGGCTGTAGGTTTGGCAGCTTACCTGTGTTGGGCTGGAATCAGCAAGGCTGGAACTTTCAGGCAATTCTAGGTTGCCTGCTTTTCCTTTCCTTTAGCTTTCTTCAGCTCCTTTGAGATGGGTGCTGCAGGGTGTTTATCTGCCTGGGGCCCCCTGCAGTGTTGTCTCCCTCTTTCTGCTAATGCACTGGGAGATTCCTTTGTGGTAGAGTGCTGAGGCACCTGGTGGTTTTCTGAGCTGGTTTCCAGTTCCCCACCCTCACTGAGGCACTTGGAGGTCCAGGTGTTGGTGTTTGCCTGCTCTACCACCTGGGCTTCAGGATTTCCTCCTGGTTGACAGTTGGAGGCTGTAGGGTTCTGACAGCTTACCTGGTGTTGGGTTGGAATCAGCAAGGCTGGGACTTTAGGAAGACTCTAGGTTGCTTTCTTCAGCTCCTTTCAGATGAATGCTGCAGGTGCTTATTCGCCTGGGGCCTTTGTAGGGCTGCTTCCCTTATTTTTGCTGAGGCACTGGGAGACCCATTTGCTGGGCTGCTGCACTGCTGCTCCCCGTCTTTCTTCTAGTTCAGCTGTTCTAGGTGTTTTTTTTTTTCTGGGGTGATATTTTCTGGGTTTTCAGAGGTTGATAGGGGAGGGTGAGAGCGACTTACCTTTTTACTCCGCCATCTTGGCTCCCTGTTTGTGGCTTTTCTGAGCACAGTGGAAGACTATCCATTGATCTTGTGAGCTCACTGAGACCCAGGGAATTTGGAAGGAGTCTCAGAGGCCTGAGAATGCTCCTTGCTTCTGGGCTTTTTGTAGCCATGAATGACTTTCTCCTGTTGAACCATTCTGGGACCAGAGCCCTGGCTTGAGGCTAGAGAGTCAGAATCTGGGTGTGGCCTTTAAGACCTAGCAGAAACAGTAAACCCGCCCCAGAACTGAGCCTCAGGGCTTGCTTGGCTTTGTTTTTGGTATTGGTGGCCTTTGGATTAGGGCTGGCCTGAAGCTGACTTTTCCATCTAGAAAGAAGAAGCTTCTGCGGGGGCTTCCAAAGGGATGCACGATCTCCTTCAGGTGGTTACTCTCTCCAGTGGAGCAGATTGCCACCCATTTCTACTCCTCCCAGAAACCTTGGTAGACAGTGGAAATTGCCAGAGGAGACCCAGATTCCTCCATGTAGCGATTGTGTGCCTCTTTGGGAACCTGGTTTCCCTCCCCCTCCATAGGTGACTGACTATAAGAGTTCCTTTTTCTTAGGGCCAGCTAGGTGGCACCAGACCTGAAGTCAGGAGGACCTCAGTTCAAATTTGGCCTCAGACCAAACACTTGACACTTACTAGCTGTGTGACTCTGGGCAAGTCATTTAACCCCAACTGCCTAAAAAAAAAAAAAGAGAGAGAGACAGTTCTTTTTTCTTTGTGAAGATCATGGGAGGTTCTCCATAGCCTCCAAGCACTT